CGAGTGGGTGATCCTATCCAGAGCTGGTCGTTTAAGAGGGCGGTCTGTGCCGGAGATGTGATGGGAGTCTTTGGCCTCTGGTTGGTATTTCAAGGAATACGATCAGATGAGATCCCCAGTGAAAGAAGAGAGGAGTTGTACGGACAGGGCCCTGGGGCATTCCAGCTTCATGAGGAGCAGAAGAGGACAAGCCAGCAAAGGAGAACAAGAGGGAACAACCAGGGAGGAAGCGGGGAAACCAGGAGCATGGAGAGGACTGAGAATGGAGGCTCAGGTCAGTGCCGGGGCCAGTGGTCCGGTGGCTGTGGCCACACACGCTGGATTGGAGAGAAGAATGCAGGGGAGGGAGTGGATACAGGGATTGCAGACAACTCAGTTGAGCTTTGCTGCAAAAGGGAGCAGAGTTTGAAGTGGTATCTGGTGGGGTAAATAAGCTCAGGAGAATTGTTTTTCAGTTGGAAGCATTATCAGCATGTTTAGATGCCGATGGGAGTGATTGAGTAGAGAGTGAAATAGTGATTATGTGGGATAGAGGGTTGCTGAAAACACCTCTTGAGTAGGCGAGAGAGATGGGTTTGTGGACAAGTGGAGTCACTGGCTTTAGGAGGAACATGGACAGTTGCCAGTGGGGATGGACCAAATGACGGATACATGCATGGGTGGTGCTCAGAGGAGGCTCTGCAGTTCTCTTCTGATTGCCGACCTTCCTTTGTGAAATGGGAGTCAAAGCTAGTATCTGAGCATGCCACATGGAGGAGGGATTGGAAGTCTCCAGAGACCAGGAGGCAGCAGAAAGTCCTTTAGAGAGGCGGAGGTGCAGAGCGGTCATCTGAAGCTTTCCCAGCCCTCTTGAAGCCCTGGCCGCAGACTGAAGGAGCCACTCTGGTGACTGCACGCTTCTCTAGATAGCCCTGCTGGGGAGCTGACGCGTGCAGATCAAGAATTGAGTGATCGTTTGGCCAAGCTGGGGGGGACACAGTGAAAGAGTGGCTGGAGTTGGTAGTGTGTGCCGGGGAGACAGGATCCTAATCTCAGAGGGCACTGAGACAGGGAAGTGAGGAGTGAGGACAGCAGGGCTGAGGGAGGAAGGAGCAGAGGAGGAGCCATTGGAGATGCGGGAGGAGGCCGAGCACTGTGGGACCGGGGCGATGGAGAAGGGACCTGCAGTGGCACCATCTGAGGTGGTGTGAGGAATCCGGAATGTGGGGTGTCTGCGAGTGCCGCGGGTTCCAGTGTTCCTCCCAAAAGCTCGGCTTCTTAGTCATCCTGCCTCACGTTTTCATTGTCCGTACTTTAAAAGGGCTGCTGGAGAGATCTGCCCCTCCACTTACCCGATTGCCTACTTACCCCTTTGGTGGGTAATTGCTGAGGTGAAAAGGCATTGCTAAGGTGTCACTGTTGCATTTCCTGGCTGGGGCACTGTGGCCCCGATGTGGCCACCAAGAAAGCTGACATCTGAAGTTTCCCCTCCCACCTTCTCTTCCATTCCTTGGAAAATAAATGCATTCTAACTTTATGTTTATTTTTTAATCTTAACATTAACATACTAGGATTACTGCATCTTTCCCTGCAGTGCTTTTGCTGGTCCCGAGATAGGGCCTCCTCAGGTGTGAGCGAGACAGTAAAGAACCCTGGAGAAAACTCATCATGAGGCCAAGTGGAATTCTGTGTTCTCTCTGTTGGCCACGCCCACCTCCCGGGACGCTCTGTTTGGGAATCTGTCTCAAACAAATTCCAAGAACTGTGAAATGGCCTCATATTCACAAAAGAGTCATGGTGAGATGGCCAAAATGCTAGAAAATGACATTCCAGCGTGAGCAAAGATGTTTATAAATGTTCGGGATTTATAAAGAGAGATGATTTTCATGGACTGTAAACCAGCCTCAGTCCAGCCTTCTATGACTGATGTAGCTAAATCTGAAATACAGGTTTTTATTCTGTTTGGTTTTGTTGTTTTGTTTTTCCCAAGTGGGAAATATCAGTAGTTTAAAAAGAAAAGAAATCGTTGATTAAAACTTGGCCTCAGCCCTGGCCATCACTCAGCCTTGGGACCGGCCACGTTTGGGAACTGCAGCTTTGTGTGGCCGGCTCATTGCTGGTCTGCCTTTGGCTAGTTGGCCTTTAGGGCAAAGGTCGTTTTTAAAGCATGAACTGGAAGCGAAAAGATCGATACCTTGCTCTAGTTCCTCCTGGTTTCAGAGTTCCTGACGTGGAGAAATGAGCAGTATTTTTAGAAATGGAAACAGAGATGCTCTTCTGAGATGCAGCGGCTGATGGTATCGTTAAAACCAATGGTAACCACATTTTCCACATTTAGCTCAGTTACAGTTTTCTGGGGTTTGTTTTCTTTTGTTTTTCAGCACTTTGGGCCATTTTCCTCCGTGTTCTGTGCTCTAGGCTATGGT